TTGGGATTTAACAGAATGTAGCAGATTATGCAAATATGGGAAGAAGAGGAGAGAAGAGCAGAGCAGAGCAGAGGAGACATGAAATCCTCCTTGCAACCATTTTCTTCTTGTTGCATCACCCTTCACACCACACTGGTGGGATACGAATTTAAAGCCTTAATTTCCTTGTAGACTAATGGTAATTTATTTAATTGTACTAGTCCAATACTTAATATTTCTTCTGACAGCAGATTGCACATGACATATGCAATTTGATTTAAATAAAAAAACTGTCTTAAATGTTTTTTATTTAAATAAAAGGGGAAGGAGGAAAGATATACAAAAAAAGAGTATGGATTTCTGAAACAGGTTCAAAACAGGTACAAACCTGCCTTTTTGGAAACTTGGCACTGGTCAGCCTTGTTTTCTTGTATTGTGTTGGTCTAGAGACAGCACAACAAAATGTACTTGATATACCCTAGAACATGCTAATTAGTAAAATATGGGGGTACTTGCTGTTCTTTTATGATGGAACTGCTTCCATTCAATTAACAGGCAGCTTGTCACTGACAAGGACATCGTGGACTCTATGTTCATAATCACGATTCTTGTTAAATTTCTAGAAAGGAGGAGAGGAAGTAGAGAGGAAACAAAGCTACACTGTCATAAAATAAGGAACTAGCTAAGCATCTGCATTTCTGAAACAAGAAGTCTCTTTCTTCTGTAAACTTAAAACTTTGTTTACCATGTGTGGGTCTTTGAAAGAGCAGTATGGAAAATCCAGGTTGGATGGGGCTTTGAGCAACCTGGTTTGGTGGAAAGTGACCCTGCCCACAGCAGAGGGGTCGGAACTAGATGATCTTTAACATCTCTCCCAACCCAAACCACTCTATGATTCTATGACAGTATGAGGCTAGATAAAGAGATGCTCAAGGGAACATAAAAATAAGAGTCACAGCACATAATCTGAAAACATTTAAGGACAACCACAGACTTAATCTCTTGTTCTGCCACACTACCTCCACTGCCAGTATTCCATACTTTTTGTCAAAAAGAAGTATGGGGGTTCCTAGTCCTTCACAGGAGCCTGCCAGCTTAAGGTGGCTTCAACCTATCTGGGACCAACATGCCAGCAACTGAGGTCCACCAGGCCTCCAGGAACTCCAGGAACTCCACCTTGAGCTGTCAAAAAGAGTCGATCTCTGGGGGTTGGTATGGAATCATCACTGCTGCAAGTGACTAAGGCTTCCCTGGCATTCCTGTTGTGCCTGTTGAGCGCTGGAGGACATGAAGATGCCAAGAATGCCACTACCCAGTTATCAAGAAGGCTCTGCAGCACATTATGTACAAAATGATGGAGGTGGTCAGAGACAGGAGAGACCAAAAGGTATCACAAGATCCTCATAGTACCTGTATCTGGTTCAGAAAGCAGTTTTCTGCTCGTACCCTTCCAGCATGCAGGAAGTGCAGAGTTTGTTAGAATTTGCCAACTTCTTTTGTTGATTCATAAGAGGGTTTTCCAGCATCATGGTTTTCATAACAGCATCTACTTGAAAGGGGTCTCACTTCCTATGGGCATGAGAAGCGCATGCAGCTCCTGAGGGACAGTCATTCACCACAGCTTGCGTTACTGTCCTGCTGAGGCCTTGGCTGGGATTTCATTATGGAAGCAAATGTCTCTGGGCCATAGGGCTCATACTCTCCTAGAATCTGATCCAAAGCAGGAGCCATGACCCTATGTTTTTTTTTCCTCTGGGCAGATCACTCCCACAAATAGGAATTATGACATCCAAGATAAACAGCACCTGAAAATCAAAGTTGCCTCTGAGGAGTGGTAGCGCGCTCTTGAGGCAGCAGCAGAACCAACAGTGGTGCTGACCTATCCTCAGAATACAACTGAGGGATCAGCTGCTGCTCTCCTCACCTTGTCTGATAGACTTCCCTCTCTCCATAATTTAATTGTCCATTAACTGTCACTAACTTTGGATTCCAACCCAGAAGTCTGCCAGCCCCAGCAGCTGCCTCATATGTGCCTGCACCAAGTGACTGTCAAAGCAGGCAGTCTGTTGATGCAACTGACAACACAGTTGCCATTTCTACCACAATAAAGCAACTGCATTTTCCCCATCTGTGTTCTCATTCTTGGGCTGAGTGAGGTGGGTGGTGCCTATGTCCATATCCCCCTCTTCTGTGGACAGTATGGAAGGTAGAGCAAAACATGATGGAGATCTTCCAAAGGTCTACATATGCTCTTCCTGGCAGAGACAGGTGCTTCTCCAGTGACAGGGCAGCCTGGTAGACTGCCCCAAGCTCTAGGGTAGGCCAGTCCTAGCCATTTAATTTTGAGGGTCACAGACAGACAGACAGACACAGACCTTAAAGGGCCCTAAGGGGCTTGCTCTTCAGACCTATTTTCCAGAGTCAACTGATTTATGTATTTAGTGGCCAGTTACTCCCCCTGATGGAGCTCCAGCATTTTAGTGTGCCAGGTCACTGCACAGTTGTGGACCCTCCAAAAACTGCTTCGAAGCAGTAAGTCATCGCATTTTGGACTACAGGGCCATTGTTTTCCGCATGGTCACAATCCACTCACAGGTTGCTCTGGGAGATTGCTGCTGCTGAGTACCTAATGTCCCTTAGCATATACAGCACCTTGACAGGCTGTAACGATTAGCCACATCTAACAAATAAATCCCAGTACAATTGCACACTCCCCATTGAATGGTTCTGCGACCACTCAGTAACCACAGAACCACAGAATGCTTTGGTTGGAATGGACATTTAAAGATCGTTTAGTCCAACCCTTCTGCCGTGGGCAGGGACATCTCTTACTGAGGTTTCTCAAGACGGGGAGCAAGAGATCTTGAAGCAGCCTGCAGTGCTGTGTCATACCTCTACATACTGCAGGAATCTGAGGTTAACCTGCAGACAATGGGGAGCCTGAAGGCCAGGCTCCATCATAGTCAGCCTAGGACTTGAGGCGGCCCATGCTACCTGCCACGAAGCAGCAAGACTGGGGCTGCTCTGCAAGGGATGACAGTGAAAAGCTGGAGATCACATCACAGGACAGTGATCTCACCAACCAGGGCACAGCACCCAAATAGGGCAGTCTGGTGACAGCAGCAGCTGTTGACAGTCCCAGGGATCACCAGGTAAATGTGAGATGGCAGGTCAAGTCTAAGTGCAATCCATGAAATCCAGTGAACAGAAGCTGCAGGGTACAGCATTAGGCACATGCCTGCCAGCAGCACAGCTCAGGAAAGGACTGGAGGCCAAGGCTGGAGCAGAAATGGAGCTACCCCTTGCAGCTACGCTGGTGAGGTGTACTGGCATGTATCTTAGGCTCTAGGTTAACTCCAGTGTAATCAGGAGAGAACAATGTAACACAAACATCGCCCCATCGATCTTGCACCTTCTCACTGGAGCTTAAAACCCAGACCAAACACGTCTTGAGGGCATTCATCTGACCACAGATTATCTTCACACCGTCTCTCCAGGTCCTTCAGTCACCCATTGCTACACCCATCCTGAAAAAGTTGCACAAAGATTTAGGAAAACTTTTAAGGGGTGAGGAAGGAGAAGAAATGCAGAAACAGGCAAGAAAGATGATAGAATTCAGGCTTGCCAGTTCTGACATAAACAGAAACACTGGAAATAGGGCCTGTGACACCACCTGCTCCCACTCCATAATGAATAAGAATTATAATATCCCAACTTCCTGATTAAAGACGAGGACAAACTTTGTTTGTGGATTTTTGTTTGTTTTACTTCAAATAAAGGCCTTAGAATTATACTAAGACCTGGGTTGCAGTCCTAAGTAATAGAAAAAATGGTCTCTCTGTTGTGAAGTACTAAATGCAGAAATGCCCAAAACTACCTTAAATAGAAATTGCAGATTGCAAATTGTATTTCATATCAGATACAAATTGTATTTTATAGATAACACTGGATTTCAAAGAATGAGGAAACTGTAGTTACTCAATCTATTTTCAGACTTAAAATTCAACTGTGTGGATTATGTAAGTATGTCATAAACAAACAGAACAACCAACTAATAAAGATGTTCTAGAAGAGAGGCAGATGGAAAAAAAAAATAATAAATGAAGATATTCCTTCCCCCAGACCAGCTATTACACTTGGGAGGAAAAAAACCAAACACATTACTGTCACATGTGCACTCACTGCATTAGGAGAGCCTAAAGTTACCACTAAATTAGGCAAAATAAAATGTCTTTATTGCCCATTCCAGATTAGGACCTTTTCAAAAGTGTGCTGCTGTTAAAAATGAAATGTTAAACATAGAGGATATCATTTCAGTCTCTACAAACCAGAAACTCTCAAAGTAAAACTACATCTTTAAGCACTGCAGATATCGAAGAAACAATATCAGCACTAATGTTTTTGCCTGAGGTAGTCTGATATCCTTGCTGTTACTCTAGTCTCAACTTCCTTCTGCTCACACACCAGGATGCTTTTTATGACACCCAGTGTAACTACATGATGCAATTTCACAAGTACAGTAAAAGGTTAATCATTTTAAAGCCATACCATTCATATCTCTAACAGTGTTCATTTTTTAAAACATGCAGTTGGTTGGACTGTGCAATTCTCTCCTTAAGTCGGCTGAGACAACTCTTTAGGAATTACTGATGAACATTTTAAATACATAAAGCTGTGCCTGTCTTATCTGTACAGATCTACATTTTGGAAATTGAGTCAGCCATACCATACCATATAGTAATAAAAGTAAAACATGTAGTAATTTCCTAGTAAGTTACTGCCATTTAACAATGCATTTTTCCAAGGCACAGTACACAAAAGAACTCCTGCAATGGCAGATCAATGTACCACACGAAAACTTTAACCTTCTAATGAGACAGTGCGACATGTTTTGCTCATTCTTTGTGTCAAGTGACATAAGGCAGCATAAGCAGCACAATGAGGAAATTCAGACATCCCTGGTTCTTCATCATAGTCACAATGAATACTGGTCGTCTACACAAATGAGAGATACAAAGTTGTAAAATATAGGAATATAACTTTATTCTGTTAATTTGCAAATGTATTTGTACAGCTGTTCTGAGAAAGCTTCTGAGGAAAATTTTTCCATAACTCTCACTCTCCCAGCTGCTCCCATTGCATCCTTTAAGATAGGATCTCTCACAATTTTTTCCATTGCTTCAGCGAATTGGGTTGGTTGAGGATCACACAAAAATCCTGTAACACTATGCAAGATTGATTCTAAAGGACCACCTGAATTAACTGCTATAACTGGACATCTCATATACATTGCCTCCAAAGGGACAATACCAAAATGTTCATTGCTTGGTGTATAAAGCACACATACACAGTTACTAAAAAGGGAGACTTTCTGTTCATCTGAGAACGATCTCAGAAAAGTCACATGCTCATTAACACCAAGCGTGGCTGCAAGTCTCCTCAGCTCTTCGTAGTGCTCCACATTTTCCAGAACTCGTTTATCATAACCACCTGCCATAACCAGGTGAACTTCATTCCACTCATGAGAATCAAGTCTTCCTCGAAGTTCATGCAAAGCTTCAAGAGCCAATGCTAGATTCTTTTTTCTCTCATACCTATTAATGGAAAGAAACAAGAACTTCTTCTTTTTCGGTATCAGGTCAACTATGTCTGCAGGAATGATTGTTTCAAAGCTACTGACGTTGAGTGATGGGTAGAGGACATCTGGGTTTATGTGAGACAGGGACTTAAATGTGTCTTTGAACACGCTGGCAGTAAACTTGCTGTTCACAACAATACAGTCTGCCATGCCAGTCGTGTACTCTTCCAGCCAGTCAAGTGGCCATCTGTAGAGACGCTTCAGGAAAGATTCTCTCTTGGTCAGAAGCTGGTCAGGAAAGTGGCAGTAAAACAAAACCTTCTTACGGGTTCTGGCCAGTCTAAGTATGGGAATGCAAGCAGACACCTAATGCAACCAAAAGAGACAGGACAAGAGGAGATATTAATTATTTGTGTTAGTGCCACCGGAGCGTACACGTGATTTCAAAGCCACACCCTGAGGGTCAGTCCTTTGCAAGGCAAGTGCCTTCTCCCTCTCTCTTCCACAAGCACTCCCTCACCCAGGACCTCTTGTTCAGGCCCTAGATCTCCTTCCTCACAAAGACAAGGCACCCTGCTCCCCACCCAGGCCCCACCAAGACTCAGGACTTCTCCACGCACTTCCTCCCTGCCACTACCACAGGAGATGGGAATGGAGCCCAAGCTGCAGCAGCATCCTCCCTCCAGCCGCCCTAGAATGCAAGAGTGTTGCAAAATGTGGAATATGTCAAGATTATCTTAGGTGAGGACATTCTTTGATATACAGTCTTTGTATACTCTCAAGGCTAATCAGAAAGAATGGAGACCTAATCAGAGTAACAGGCAGAAGCCAGCATCCCTTAGTGCAAAGACATCCCAGAACTAACAAGCTTTGTGGATGTAGTAAATCAAGATGTTGTTGCAGGAGAACAGAACAGATAGCAGCTAGCATCCCTTAGGCAAGGACATTCCGGAACTAACAAGCCTTAAGGCTGTAGTAAATCAGGATGTTCACGTATGTCTATGTCATTGTCATTGTTATGTTTATGTCATTGCTAATGTGGCAAAATACTCAAGGTCTTATCGCTGAACTATTATGTTCATTATAATACTAAAAATCATGCCTACAAGACAAAAAGATCCCTACCCAGGTGAAGATCCTTTCCCTGAGCACATGTAGAAGTTAGCTGGGGTTATGTAACTTGTATGGAATCACAGGATCAATTAGGCTGGAAAAGACCTCTGAGATCATCGACTCCAACCTATGACTGAATACCACCATGTCAACTAGACCACGGTACTGAGTGCCACATCCTGTCTTTCCTTAAACACCTCCAGTTACCTCTCTGGGCAGTCCATTCCAATGTCTAATCACCCTTTCTGGGAAGAAATTCTTAGTAATGTCCAACTCAAAACTGCCCTGGTGCAGCTTAGGACTATGCCTTCTCATCCTGTCACTTGCTGCCTGTGAGAACAGGCTGACGCCCAGCTGGCTACAACCTTCTTTCAGGTAGGTGTAGAGAGTGATAAGGTCACCCCTGTGCTTCTTTTTCTCCAGGCTAAACACGCCCAGCTCCCTCAGCTGCTCCTCACAGGACTTGTGCTCCAGACTCTTCACCAGCTTCGC